GACGCCCAGAATTATTTATCATAATCCTGTCTCTACATAGCAGATGTGAGAGGTGCGATGTCATACCTGCACTAATTTTGTTGTCTTGCTCCACTTTATCAGGCACTGCTCGTGGCTCACTGGCTCGCCTTTCAGTAAGCGATGATATATTGAGCATCATCATGCCATGGGACAGCAGTTCCTTGACTCTCTCAGTAGTGGGCCCTCCCCACAGAAGTGTGTCCAGACTCTGACGCCGGTTCAAGTTCCCCTGGTTCTGTTCGCTGATATCGGCTGATGCTGTTGACCGTGATATCCATCCGGATATGCTGGAGTCCAGTTTGGCCTTTGTCACTATGTGGCCAACTGCAGTTCTCTCTTCCGGCTTTGTGACTTGTCCATCTGAGTTCTCTGATAACAAAGGGTGTTCCTCGTATTTTTTTGAAGCTGTTTCAGCCCACATCTGTCCATTTTCAGAAGCCTGTATGACTGGAGAGGTATTCTGAGAGATGGTAACTGTTTTCTTCAGTAACTTGGGGCTGAGTTGTTGGAATGTTCTCTCAGGGAAGCTCGCTGCAGGTAGGAATGGATTCTTAAGAACACTGGTGAAACCAGATGATTCAGACTTTGTTGTCAAGTCATTCTGCATAGTTGTGGATGGCATCTGGTCCATCAATGGGGAGTACTGAATATAGTCCCTGTCAATGTGTCTGGAGGCAACTGACCCCATTTTTGCAAACGTTTGTGACGATTCCTCTGGAGAATCAACAAGGCTAATCTCAGTCCAGATCTGATCATTAGAGTCGTTCCGTGGAAGCAGTGGACTCTCCGCTGAACTATTCCTATCCTCACTTTCAGAACTACCGCCACCACCGCTGTCATCGGCCTGGCCATCATCTCCTTGTTGCAAGAATGGATCAGAATCCATCTGTGTCGATACTTGACGTTGATCCACAAAACTTGTCTCCATAATCTTTAATGCTGATTTGTTGGCAATGCTATGTCTTGGTGACATTGACACAGACTGCAATGTGTTTTGTGATCGTATTGTCAGCTGTGCGGTCTGTTGAATGATGCTTGTGTTCTCAGCTGACATGCTTTTACTTCCAGAAAGATCAGGGAGACCCATGTATTCAGACGTACGTAAGCCAGTTTCTTTATCACCCTGCCAAAGATGCAGTAATGCCAAATGAGCTTGAACTTGACAAAATAAGCTTAGAAAATATAACTCCAGGAATAAAATAGCACATCATTCCTATAAATATTAAATTTGGTGTTAATTTTGCTTCCAAAATTGTTATGCATATTCTGAGTCTCAAAATTTTGGTTTTGGCATGCGGAAGATTTTCTCTTTATTAAGCGTTCTACTGCTGCTTGAAATGTTTTCTTTCCACCTCAGAACTATTTAAGAAGATGAATAAAAGAATTTAAATGATGTCCAGCTCAAAACGGCTGATATAACTAGTGTCAGTTTTAGTGAGACAAATGTATCTGTTCATACAGCCAACAGGTGCTCACTTATAGGGTTAAGCTATGGACATAACACCTACAAAAAAAAAAAGGATGATAACCTTGGAAACAACAGGTGATGCATTTGGTCCTAGTTTCTCAGGAAGGCGCAGAAACTCCTCCCCAGAGTCTGAGTCAGGGGGCCCTGTGCCAGTGGAATCAGACCACATGTCTGCAAACAATGAACATCACTGAAAATTTTATAACTCAAATACACAAACACAATACCCGCAGTAATTTGACGCAGTTTCTCTCTTGTGTATGAAGAAAGTCCTTACGCTTTATTACTCAGCTTGTAGCTATGACAGAACAACTGTGGATTAGAAACAACCACAAAATTCTTCAATATCCCTAAAAAAGTTAATAAATAAACAATTTCTTTATAGACTTTACTTACAGCTATAAAAATCATGCTGGTACCACAGATTTGTTAGTTTAAAAATTGAATCCATGGCATAACAGCTCCAGAGCCAAAGCCGACTAGCTTGACTGCTGGTCTCACGTTCACATGCCTAAGCAGAGGTGAACGATCATTCAACTAGATATAGGGTGACATGTGGTCAGCACGACGAACCCTCAGCCATCGCTAACTTTCCTGACCGGATTACGCTACCCATTGTAGCTCCCCAAATTCCTCACGATGCTGGGTTGGCACCGGTCCCATACACTGGTTGAAAGCTCATGAGAAAATTTCTTCTCCCCCGAGACTCGAACCAGCGCGCATTCCGTATCGCCGATCCGAAGCGTGATGCCTCAGACTGCGCGGCTATGGCACGGGACCAGATTTGTTAGTTACCTCACTGTATAAATGTCTGGTTAGTATGAGTGCAGTATCTTGTTAGTGGCGGCTACTGAATAAGATCAGCGTGTATAAATCTTGGCAATAGAACTGACTATTGTTTCACCAGTCCATGAGTCACCAAAAAAGGATTTACCACCTGAAAGAGCCTATCACCAGTAACAACTGCAAGCAGGAAACTAGTAATTCGTTTGTATGATCTGAAGCTTTCATGGCGACTAAGTGTAATGAATTCTTCTCGGGCTGCGGGTCGTGTAAAGCGGTTTAATGGAGAAAGCATCAACGTTTTGAGAACCATGCTCGTCCTCAGGGTACTGCACAGTAATCTGAGGACAATAATTTATTATAGTAATTTGTTGACATCATGTGCATCTACACATTTATTTATTGACCCTTAATTATTTTAATTTGGACATGTTGCACACCTTCTCTGCTTTTGTGTGGTCGGAATGAGTTCTCTTGAAAAGAGACGCCGTGCTTCTTCTATGAGACTCCTTGTGACATTGGTAAGCGCTGAAGGGTTATAAAAAAGGACACTTTTTTAGCAAACAACAGAGGATTATCGTGTTCTTTTGAGTTGCGACATCATGTAGTGTTGTTAATGGTTATCGACATCTCATTGGTACTCATCACATCCATCTTTAGGGTCTATCATTGGTAACCGCCTGTAACGCAGAATACTACAACTGACATCCTCACTGCTGTCAAAACATCTCAGTCAGCAGAGCAGAGCATGTCTTGTCACCCTCGGTACCTGTGTCTGGTGCGGAGGATGAGCTGAGACCAGAAGGAGAGACCTTGTGGGACAGAGGTTCAGCATTGTTTGTGTCCGGAGAACTGGCAACGAGAGGTAGCGGAGAGTCGGCCCCAACACCAGCCCCTCGTGCACCCAGAGGATCACCTCCACTTGCGATCAGTCCCTCATACTTTCGAGTCTGCAGCAGAGATGTTCAACTTTATTAGAACTTTGTACTGCTACCTCAATATGTTAACTTTGATTCAGTTATTATATTATCCTGCTTCTGTAACTGTCTCCAACTGATTGTAATTCATTAAATAGTCAGTGATCCAGTGTTTAAAATGTAACATTAATTAATATCGGTGATGAAAATGAAAAGAGACTTCTGTTCAGCTGATTTTAAATGTTCTTGCAACTGACCCTGTGTATCTCGTCACTGATCTGTTCAAGGTTCCTCAGTGCCTCTGCATAGCTCATCTTGGCATGCCCAACTTGCTGCTCCAAGCTCTTGACACGCTTCTTCTCATCTTCCAGCATTTGGTTGAACTGAGCTTTCATCTCAAAGTACGGCCTGCAACGTAAATAAGATTATACACAAATATTTCTTTGTTTAAGACACATTAAGGTAATATGATTTTCAAAACTCTTCTCGAGACTCTTGGTTGTAGCTCCAAGTATAGACTGATTCAGATTATGACATATTTTGAATTGTATAATATAAAATTATTCTAACCATGATCCAACTTCTCTGATTCTATTTCACTCACTTCAAATGCCGCATAATAGCGTAGCAGACGCGCACCACCACAACTGTCCAATGACACTGTTTCCTGTTTCCTGTCACCATTTTCCAATTACAAATAATATTTTTATATTATTCTTAAAACCACAAGTCCAGAGATCAAGTGACCTGAGGTTTCTCGACGTTTCCGTCAGTCCCTCTCGGCTGAGATAAAACATCTTTCATTATCCACAATCCATTATGAACCTCCCTTTGACACCATATTTCATGTGCATTTGAGAAAATTAACAAACAAAGGGTTTTTTTTTCAATTTGTAGTAGTTAGTCAAAGCCTAGTATGTGCCAGGGTGGTATCTTACCTGTATTTATAAGAGTTCCAAAAAATTAAAAACATGCTGTAAACATAAGTAATATTTCACTATTTTAGCCTATTTACACAACAAAAATATGGCAGGAAAACATTGGAAGGGTTATAATAATTCTATAAACTCAAATGACAACACCAAGACAAAGACTATTTTTAAAAACTGAATCTGATGTTGGATTTCTTGACATGTAAAATTTTAAAAAAATTTATTTGCTTTCACATATGTGAAATAACACTAATTCTATTGTTCTTCTTGGAACTTCTAGCCACATTCAGGCCATCTGGACTACAAAAAGTAGGTTTCATACACTGCTACTACTTTTATATGGTGGGTGGGATATCTACTTACAGGAGTTGCAGCTGATGCTGATAGGCTAGACTGTTAATCTGCAGCAAGCTGCGACGTGCATTCAAGCTGCCGAAAACACAAAAATTAAATGGGAAAATTAAAACAATATCTTGCTTGGGTACAAAACAGAAAAGAAACACATTCAGAACATAATAAACAGTCAAATGTCCTCCTATTTTAGTTGTGGGTCCATCAGCAGTCCTTATATGTCATTATTCTTATTCTTCTCAGCTCTAATGTATTATGACCTCCGACCTCTACCAAGTCAGAATTAGTTCTAAAACAACAAATCCTTTAATATCTTATTGGGACACTCTGGATGAGGGATGAGCCCATGTTAAAATAAACCCTCAGTTATTGACCTGTCAAATGTCAATACTCTTTCTGAATCTAAAGCAGTGGGACTCATTTAAGTGAGTCCCGTCAACGTCATATTCTACTTCAAATAAACGAATTTACAATTTGGGAACTATGAAACTGAATTCACTATATTGACTACACATACATACATGGAAAAAATTCGATAGAACGCCAACTAGCCGCCTGCAAACTTTGACCCACGAACACAACTTTGCGTACTATAACCTAAAAGAGAAGGAGATATGAACTGCATTGAAACAGAACAAAAACACATGACATGAACATTGGTTATGTACAGTAGTATGCTCATGTATCCACTATAGTCCAGAGGCAAAGGGATACATTGCTATTTGCAAGTACAGTAAAATCCCTCAACTTGGACACCCCTTTATATTGGACACTTTTAATTGGAACCGACGAATATCCTATAATTTTACATGTCCACAACACCCTACATCATGGACACCCCTTTTGTTGTAAATTGGACACCCCTTTTGTTGTAAATTGGACACCCCTTTTGTTGTTAGTTGGACAGGTTCGTGCACTTAACTTCGACGCTTTTCAGGAAAACTTTTTCAGTTGCAAACCTACAGTAGCTAGATTATGTAAGTAAATAGATTACACTGTCAGTAAACGTAAAGTATTGGTGCCCTTCCCTTTGAGCTGATCCATGCAAGTTTAATTTAGTGAAAACAAAAGTTGTAAAAATTTAATTTACCCTTTTGATTTTTCTTATCAATAATTTCCTTTTTGGGAAGGGCTCCATAATACTTTACAATTACCACATTGTCATTACAACACAGTATGAAAGGATATTTTCCCCTTTCCCTCTATCTTGGACACCTCTGTAAGTTGGACAAATTTTCGTGGAACCCCAAGTGTCCAACTTAGAGAGGTTTTACTGTAGTACAATAGCAACTGAGTGTCCCAAATGAAAGAAGTTGTACTACAAAATCAGCATCCAAGAACTGTGACAATCTTGTGCCTTACAAGAACGTTACTTTAGGAGTACGTGTATTTGTGTGTCGGATGATGATATGAGCAGGCAATTATGCCATTTTTCAGAGCTTTTGGATGCTACGGTTCTGTACACAAAACAAAGTGCAAATCATATTAAAACTGATGTTTTCCTCACTAACAGAATGTAAATTAGTCAACATTTCTTTCATGCATAATCAAATTAGTGCCATGCAACAAATACGCGTGCATCCGCTCTACATAGCACGATCCATAATAACTGATAAGTGACCAGAGTAAGCAAAAGCAGTTGGCTGGTGCTGGTGTCCATCTATGATTCTGATTTAAAGACAAAGAATAAGCAGTTTTAACAGTAAATGTCAGATAGAGAGGTTCACTTAGCGTGTAATTAATTTCTTGATGCTTCAAATAAGTTAAAAATTTACATATTGACAACAGAGAACAAAGTACATGTCTGCAATGCAAGTCTGTCCATTAAAGTCCGAAGTTTAACCCAGATAGATAAAAGACTTAAAGATAACAGTCAGCGAGAGCAATAAGACACGTTAAAAATGTCGATCTTACACATCAACATTGAGCAAAAAATTGTTATTCGAGTTATAACAATTTTAAAAGGAATAATTTTGAAGTAAGCTCTTGTGCTCACCTCAGTGACGTGTACCCACAGAATCATAAACTCCCTATCCAAAACTACAACTGCTTTCGCCAATTGCTGATGGTCACCAGGTCAGGTGTTGGCGTTTCCTTTACCTGGACTTGGCAATGGCCCTTTTGAGTTCCTTCTGTAGTTGCTGAACACGCATCTCTGCGCGGTGGTAGGACTGTGAGGTGCGGCGATGCTCCACCTCACTCAGTGTTCTCTCTCGCTCCGACTCGTTCACCTGATGGAATAGATGATAATGAAGACTTGAAGATTCCTTCGCAGAAGGATGATTTACCCTTTGTGAGAGGAAAGGGAATAAGACTGAATGGCGTCGACATCCAAGACAAAGACTGGAATAGGTTGAGATATCCTTTTATTAGGTAAAACAGAATGCAGGGTCTTTCATTGTTTTAAGATATGAAATGACAGCGTTTATTCAAGCAAGATACAGCCATGAAGGGTAGTGACTTGCCCTCATAGTCGCATGGTTCAGCATTTCTTGCCATGCATGGTCAAATGTTCGCCCCTCTGTACTGAGGCCCTCTTCTGCCAAGTACACCATCTCCTTTGCAGCTGCATGAGCAGAGTTCGCCCTCTCAAATCTCACTGCGGCTTGCTGAGTATCCTGTAGCGCCTGCAGTCACATGAAAATGTTTAATAAGTTGAAGATAAAATTGGAGAAGCATAAAAATAGTACCATGTGGCATCCAAAGTAAACTTTGATAGTGAAGGCAATATAAATGTGGTAAAAACAGTCTGGCCGGGTCATCCCGCTACGGTAACCGAGTAGACCATACAGCCAGCAACTCGACGCCGAGTGTCGGGCGGCGGGAAATAACCAGACTCCCTAAGGGGGCCAACGGCTTCGGGCGGAGGAGCCCCTTTAGGTGGGGGTGATGGTCCCCTCAGTGGAGGAAATGCCACTGAAAACTATCATGTAGCATCTGTACTCCAGGTTAGGGACGGCTGCAAAAGGCGTCTGTTCCCCATGTTAGGGGCGGCCTAAAAGAAACCTTGAGGAAAGCAACGGGAAACTACCTCAAGATTTTATTTCCCAAAAAAACCCATCACGGATTTGAATTCTAATGAAGGGTCACCAACTTTCAACATTGAAAGCCGGACTGATGACGAAAAACAGAGAGGAGACTTGCATACATGTGAAATGAATCTGTAGCATCGCAGTCAATTCACTGAAATAAGAATGAGTGATATTATATCCAAAATGAGGGTCATGTGTACAAGACTGCATATAACATCAACAGATGGCACCTGTTATCAAATGCAGTTAGGCACATAAATACACTTGTTGCTAGCAGCTGTGAACCCATGAACAGAGTAAGTTTAAAATCCCAATTATGTTTTTGCTTTCAGGCATCCTTATCAAAGATCATTCTGCAATGAAACTATCACTGCTGGCAGAACACATACAGCACAGCTTCTGACTTACCAGCTCCGCATTTATGATTACCTCTTTGGCCTTCATGCGTGACTCATAATAAGGCCGCGCTCTATCGATGCAGGCTCCAAGTTTCTTAGCCAGGCTGTCAATACGAACAGTTGATTCGCACAGCAGTTGACGGAATGCAGCTCTTGCTTCCTGGTGATAGAATTGTAACTATTTCATATGTCAACCAGTATCTTTTACATAGGGTACAGTTTTCATCTTCATGATGGAGATTTAAGGTTCTCAGGGCAGTGAAAATATAATTCTTTACTTGTTAGACATAACTTAAGCTTTAAAGCAGGTGCTGAATGTGTCCACCACCTTTTCAAAGACAAATGGCCAATCAGCCACGGTGACGTTGACTTGAGTGTCATGGAGGAAGTTGTGTCAGTTACGTGTGGGTGGACCTGCTTCTGGTGAAATTTTTGTACTGTAATATGTGATTGGTGTTAGGTTGCATTTGAATGGTGGAACTGTGAATCATTTAACCACATGGATACTACGCAATGAAAATAGTAGTGTTGCTTCTGTGGATAGTTTTGTAAAATATAACTATGGATTACTGAGTGGCAAGAATTGAGATTATGGTCTATTAATAATGAGGGAGATGTAAGAATTGAGGCAAATCAGAAGGAAAAAAAACAATGGTTGTGCTGAACACCTTCCACCAAATGTGGTTGAGTTTACAGCACTCCTACTTCAACAGAATTCTTGGTAAGTGATACACCCTTGAATTCCTACCATCAACACACTAAAAATTACCATATCTTCCTATACTTATTCATAATATTTCTTTGTAAACAAAAATGATTTAATATTTATCAATCAGCCCTGGTAAGTAAGTACTTACATCCAAATCTACTTCAAGTTTATTAATGTCATCAGTTGCAGTGTTTAGACGTTCTAATTCAATCTGTAACAATTAAATAGTAAAAAAAATCAGCAGATAAACAATTTTCAGTAAAATGCAAAGTATGTAATAACAGTTTTATTATATGTAAACATGTCTGTCTATTAAATAAGCAAGTGCTAGTTGGCTGGTGATCATATACTGTTATGGGACTTTGGACCTAAAGGGATATTTGTGTGTTGGTATAACTGTTGCCATGGTATTGTTGATAAGGGTTTTTGGGCCTTACAGGATAATATTTATGATTGTGTTTTTACTATTTTAGATTTTCCCATCATTCTTCATAAGCAATATATTACCTATTTTATTATATTATGAACATGCACATTATCGAATACTGTTACTTCTGATTCTAAAATTATGTTGTTATTATTCATGTCAGTTGGTATTAGTCTCATTTCTTATACATTACACGAATGCGGTACCGTAAGTCTGCAGATTACATAAAGTTGAAACGTAACCTGTACACGTGGATCCACTTCATCATTACATTTATCTATGTCCGTAACATCGGAAGAAACATTGGACTGAATTTTAGTTGCCATTGTTAAACAGATATAACAATATATTCAACTATTACTCGATTTTTGTGTCGTCTGCAACATTTTTGGTAGCCATTTTGACACAAAACTACAGAGGTCTGAATGCTCCTGGAACATGAATTTATTTCAGGTTTGTGTTTTTAGTTTACGCCCTTTGAGACTTCGTGGTAATGTAATTTTTTAAAATGCTGACAGATTTATGCAGATTTGTATGTATTAGAATGTATCAAAGAACAAAGTCCTGAAACTTCTTTGTTGTTTGAAACTTGCAGCTTTCTGCACATGAAAATCCTATTTAAACAATTGTTAGGTGTAGTAAATTTTATTTTTAATTTATGTCTGAAAAATTTTATTTCCAAAAATTTCCCCAGCATAGCACATTTAGCTTGTTAATCTGCTTTCATGCAGTATATGGCAACGTTAATTGCTGTTTGTAGTGGTGCAGGTTGTATTAGTGCTGCCATCTGTCGGACAACTATAGATGCACTGTCACGTATATTTCAGATTCATATTAACTTTTAGCTTCATAAACTTATGTTGTTGAATTAGAAAATACTTTTGTGAAACCTTGGTATCTACCTGCAAGCCTACACTGCGTTACAACGCAAAAGAATAACATCGACAGTATTAAATGGTGTTTTAGAAGTCTGTGCCATTACGCTATTCTTCGAGTTTTGTAAAATCCCTACAATAATTATATTATCGCTATTATGTAGGAATATTGTCAGTATAAGTTAAGATTAGACAAATGTGTATTACAGTTAGTATGTATACATTCTAACAGAAACAGTAATGTTGTATAAACATGAAACCGTGAAGTAATTGGATATAGTTACACTCCATGTTGATAGATGGCAGTGTTCTGCATGCCGTAATTCAGTAATAGGAAGGAGTGGGTTGTGAGTCAGTGTCTTAGGAGGCCAGGGTTGGGTATTGTGTTGTTCCAGTGGTGACAGGTGCTTGTACGACTCCGTTACTTTGCTGGTAGGGACATTTTCTGCATACTACCTTTGATATTAAGAACTTTATGATTAGATGAATGCTTTATTCTTGACTAATGTATATTTATATAAGCAGTTTTGTTTTTAAATCAAGAGGAAGTTAGTTTTACTTGCAGGCATTTGGTTTTCACTTGAAAACACCTTCAAGCATTTGCATCTGCAGGTTGTTTGTTGGGTGGAATATGGGGCATGGGTCTTTTATTCATATGATAATTTGTTACCATTATTTTGATGATACTGTTACGTGATACGACTTTGTACAAATTATACTGAAATTATGAAAATTACTGAGGACATATAAATCTGCAACCAATAAATTTTTGCAGGGTATGTTTTTACCAGAGGTTTTACGACATCAATTGTGAGCCAAAAATGGTGGGGGTGTGCCTTCTGGGTAACTGTGCCCATTATTCTGTCTCGAGTTCTGTTGACGAACTTCTTTTAATGCAGGCCATGCCTTTCGACCTGCTTGTCTCCCCATGATATTTATCATTGCGTCCGTAGAGAATTTTATGCACTAATACTGCACTTTATAATAGCCCTGAACGACTTTTTTTCTCGATTGTGACATCGAATAGTGTGGTAGGTTAGGTTGCCAATGTTTTGGAGGAACTTCTATGGTTTAATTGGTACTAATATCAGACGTATTGCATATTTATGTTTTGTTTATGTACATCATGATACAGTCAAATGCTTATCTGTGAACCGGTCAAGTTACGATAACCAGCCTTGCATAATTCTTTGTCTCATTATTACGTCGACATGACCTTTGTACTGTCTGGTAATAACGAAAAACCTTTATTTACTAAACGGTCACAGAATTTAAGATGAGTGTTATTGTTGGCTTATTGTTTCCGTGTTATTACTGTTTCATTGTGTTCGGGGGCGCGCGGATTGTAAAATAGAGTTCCAGGCAGAATTTGCAAAGACATTCTACCCAACATCTTGCTTTCATAACTTTTTAGGTAATGTAGCGTAAGTTTAGAATTCAACAGTAGAATGCAAAACTCATACACTATCTCGTCCTAGGTTAGTTTGTAGGTTCCTGTAGGATTTAAAAACGTTTTGAGTAGGAGTTTTAATTGCATACGATTCAAGACGTGTAACATGTTATTAGTCGTACAGTTTATTTTTCGGAAGACGTCATTGTTTAGAAATATTTTGCCTACGAAAGATGATTTTAGACAATACAAATATAAATTTTATGCGCATATTGCTGCAGAGTTACATACTGTTTATAAATCCTGCATCAGTTTGCATTCGACACAGTTTTTAAGTCGATATAATCTGTGGCATTTGTATGTAAAGACAAACAAGTTCCATCAGAGAACGGATTACGTAATTCCAGCCTCCTTTGTCCAGACAATGACCATAACTAAGAATGCAGTTCCGTCATAGTGAAAGATCTAGAAATGAAGACTTGTTGAGAAGGTCTAACAAACAATGAATAACGTTGTACAGGGAGACATTTCAAGAAATTTATTGGCTTCGTAAGTGGTAACTCCTTAAATAAACCGTACGTTTTTATTGACATAAGTGTGGAAGCTGTATGGAAAAGGAGAAGAAGCACATATTCTGTACAAACAAATGCCGTCCTCAAGGATTACAAGGCGTATCACGTGCATGAAATACGATCGTAGTTAAACATTTCTAATGATACGCCATTGCTATGCATCTGCGCGTAACTTGGTGGAGAATTATGTTCCGAATGACTGCACATGCTGATTGAAGGCTCTTCGATATATATTACAGAAATCAGTGGAAAATTACAAAAATGTTATCCAAGGAAACAGTTAAGTCGTATGAAGTTCATGGGTCGGTTGATAGATGTCGTTGATTATAGTGTTGTTTTTTTTCTTTTGTAGCCGGCTACAGTATCGACTCATTGTCTTTTAAACATAAAATAATCGACAGTTGCCAGATATAACATGAGAGTAACGTAACAGGAAATATGTCGTGTTGCGTTCGTTTGAGAAATATGTAACATGTCTGTCACAATTAAATTTAAATTTCTGTATGAGAATTTGAGGACTTCATGGTGGTGACAATGGCTATTAAATAAGAGAGATACCATGGCAACATATCAGTTACTACAACGCCCCTTGTCTGAGGTAACTTTATACACCGCGCCCCCCAAATGTGCCATTCGTAGACCACCGCCCTCTCGATTGAAGCTGTCCGGAGACTTAGGACGTGTTTGAATCCCGGCCAAAGAGGAAGGAGTACAATAACTGCATTCGGATTAAGATGGACAAACACACTTATTTGGTAAGATTAATAAATACATTTTTGAAATTGTTGAAAAAGGACAGTGAAACACTATTAATAATGTAAGTTTCCCACTCGAATTTTCTTCTGTCCGAGTTTGACGAAATGTTTAAAGCGACAACCATGGCCTATTGTTTTAGTTTCGATTATTACGTATTTACAGATTTATTAAGCTAGACATTGATTATAATTTTGTACCAAACTCTTCACCTGAGTTCTATTGTTGTAACAAGAATTTGTTATTTAATGGGTGACAAACAAACTATGCTTTCAATAAATGCAGGAAGTAGGCTTGGATGATCTATTTTTAGAATCTCCTTCACACGAATTACATTTTGCTTACCCCGTGCCTCTTCATTATTTAACATATTTTTATTTAATTCTCCAAACTTTTTTAAATTATGCAACTTTCACTATTCTCTGTTTTAAGTTCGTTCGTCTAGATGGGGAACTCTTTGTTCTCGGACACTTTCTGTTTCATTTTCTACTGTTTCCCATCATCGTTTGTTTCCCTGGTAATTAGTGTGGAATTAATTAAATGGAGTGTGAGTTATCCTATAGAAAATTACGTAATGAGTAGTCTCTCATTCTGCAAATCTCTGCCTAGCACAGTGATGGTAGAATTTTTAGGGAAACAGACGCACGATGGCAAAACCAAGGCGTAGATGGGGAAAGTTTACCTGTTGATTTTGTTTTCCTCTTTACGACAATGATTATTGTGGCTGATGTGGAGTTTGTACGTAGTTTGACTCTTTGTAAAAATCGATTATTTCCTTAATCAGCGTTAACCATTTGTTCTTCGTAATGGTGAAGTTATGTGTTTTCTTCGCGGTACGGACTGGATTCTTAAATATTTACACGAACTTCGGCTTCAAAAGGGTTAATTAGCGTTCTTTGCCATATTTTTTATTTAAACAGTGTTAACGAGTCGATCTTTGTAACGGTGAAGTGCCGTGTTTTCTTCGCGGTACGGACTGGATTCTTAAATATTTACACGAACTTCGGCTTCAAAAGGGTTAATTAGCGTTCTTTGCCATATTTTTTATTTAAACAGTGTTAACGAGTCGATCTTTGTAACGGTGAAGTGCCGTGTTTTCTTCGCGGTACGGACTGAATTCGTAAATATTATTTAGACGAGCTTGGGCTTCAAAGGGTTAACGTACATGATCGTCTTTCAGTTCCTTGAAATTAAACTTCCATGAATTTCTAAACAGGCGGATAACATTAATAGAAACTGGCTACGTCACATGATTACAGCTTCATTACTAACGTATCGTGACGCTATAAACTTGAAAGCAAGACTTGTGGGAACTCTGTAGAATGTCGTACAAACATGGTTTTCGCACGAACTTAGTGTTTTTATAACTCCTACGTATCGACGTTCCGAACAATTCTTTCTGTACTTTACTTTTTACTCTTTGAGTTACTTCGGTGTTTAAAAGTTAACTACAGCTCGATTGTCGACTGTGTGAGTTCTCCTGCCAGGGTCTGATTGTATTAAAACCGGAAGAGGCGTGACATATCTCATTTTTCTCAGGAGGCCCTGCTACTGATGTGTTTGCGTGCCTAATCGAGATTTGCTTCCTTAAACGTACATGAAGTCCGAACCCCATAACTCATCTGAATAATACGGAATATTTAATGATCTTCACGAAATGTTTTGTCTGCGTGTTAGATGTTCGGGTACGTCACTTACTTACGAGTGCTGGAGAGAACGTTTGTGTTTTTGAGAGGGACGTTGACAAGACGAGACCAGATAGTAGATGGATTAGATGGGCGAGGGAGATGAGAAATGTATACAAAAATTCTAGTCGAAATACCTGAAGGAAAGTGACTGAAGATATGGATAAGATTGGTACTCTATTTGGAGTACACTCACATTCCAAAGGTGTTGTTCACCCCCACATAATCTAGGCCATTTTTACAATCATGTAATTCGTAATCATTCTTGCACTGAAGTGATTGTTGTGCAAGTGTTTCATCGATGTTGCATTTCGCCGTAGAAAATTTTTGTACAAAAATTCAGCTTCGTCGGGATAGGATCTGTTGGTAGGATTTTGTGAACACGGTGATGGATTTAAGAGAATTTGTTCTGTGTTGCTCTGACAGTGCGTGGTGAATTATAAGTTACGAAAGTCGACAGACTGCCTGTCTAACTGGATCAAAACGGGACTTGTAACTTGAATAAGTTTGTACTTAACAACATACGTCATTCATCCCGTGAAGTTTTCCCGCTAGTCTCATAGAAGTGAAGTCGTCAATACTGAGTGTTGCATTATGCACACATTTGGTGATAATCGTTTCTCATAGTATCACAGGATGTTTTAAAATGTTAGAATCGTAATGGAAATATCTCTGAGACTTAACGACGGAAGCTTAGCTATGTGTCTCGTGTGCATTTAACCTCACATCCATGTAGCACCGAGATTAAGAATGCGTGGAACTATAACTCCACTCCCCCCATTCGCTTTCATTTCGTCGTGTTGAATTAATCAGGGGCACCTTTAAATTCAGTGTTAGTCATCGCATGTGATGACAAGTGTTCATGTTGATCGCCTCGGTTGTGATGTCATGTGGACTTTTAGGTTAGGTTTGCAAATTTATGTGTCTGTAGGATAGGTTCACGCCACGGTGGTCTAGCGGTTAGAACGCTGGGGGTCTCGGGTTCGATTCCCGGCGGTGCCTGAATTTATAACTTGTGTTGGGCAAGGCCGTGGTCTAGGCAACACGGAGTTTTCCTCCGTGTCATCCCAACAATTACTCCATTCACACACAGAAGAAGGCAATGGCAAACCACTTCTGGATCATCTGCCAAGAACGTATATGAACAGGTCCCAGTCCGGGAAAAGGATGGAAGGATCCTGTTCATATGGACCTGTCGTCAGACAGAACACCAAATAAATAAATAGGATAGGTTCGCCTTCGCGCAGACAGCGAGCTCTTGGACGCTGACGAAACAGTGTCACCTTGTGCGGCACATCTACTGGAATTCCCTGCCCGGCCTTCGTGTAATAAAACAATTTATTTGTATCCTGTGACGTAACAACCAGGTATACAGACTTTCGCATTCTACGAGTAAACTGAAGTGAACTTGAAATGAAAGTGTTTTATGCTACTCCGATGCTCCTGAAGTATGCGAGGAGACCTCCCTTTTTCTGTAACCATTTACGTGCTGCGTACGAGATAACTCGTAAGAAATACAGACCTTCTGGCCTCATTTTATCACGTGTTTGAGATCAGTAAAAAAAAACATTTCTTGCTGTCTTTTAGAGTTGAAGATTTTTTTTTCTAGCTAACTGGATTTTAACAATGGAAATTATAAGTTAGGGGGACATGCACTGAGATATAAACTCTCGTTTAAATACAAACGAACGACGTGTTTTAAGAGAATTAGTCTCAGAAAGGCAATAAAACTCATTCATGTAGATGCCATTGTCTGTATTGCTGCTTAGATAGGGGAAAGTATCAAAGTTTGCTATTTAGGCCTTCACAAAAATGTAGAGAGAAAGCTCGTGTTTATTCCTGAGTTGAGAATTAAGATTTCCGCCTCAGCTGGAAATCCGATTTTGTGAACTTTAGGAATAATCTCATGGATCATTAATTCTCCCGGTGAACATTGTGACAATTTATGTTAATCGTCTGTTATGCCTGTAAGTTTAGATGTTTTTTTTTGTACTGATGCATTGCGAGAGACCTCCTTTTTATGACGTGTTTCGTCCGATGTACTTTTACGCGTAGAAGATACGTACTTTCCCCTGTCATTAATTTTTTTGTGATCAGGTGGTAAGAAGTTAATGTCTGTCTTAAATTTCTGTTTCATACTTTGCAAGGTTTTACAAACGGAAGCCATAAATAAATTGTAATCGTGTTGAATTGAGAACATTTCAGTCTGTTATATGCTCGTCGAATGTCTTGGTCGAATCGTCTGTGAGGTCCCGACTCGGAGACCGGTTATCTTTACTGACGTTATTTTTCGTGGTTTTCCTCTCTCCCTCCAGGCAAAAGTCAGGACTGCGTTTAACGATACATTGAAAGCTTTTCTATATATTTTCTAATTTATTATTTTAGTATTGATACGCTTTTAAATATTTTTTTTTGAGATACTGAAAAGTTTGATAAATTATGTAAAATAAATGAGTCGTATAATATTATCTTGTAATAATGAAGAAGGGACTGTGTCCATCTGCAGGGTAACTTAGCAGTCGTCCGGTTATGAGCCCAAAAAATGTTTTTGCATCTCGCGAACTTGCAACCTGTCCTACTGGTTCTACTCCCCCCACCCGAATCAGAAGTCGCGATGATGCCTTGTGCCTTGAAGTCAGTTGCAAGCCGAACTTGGCGGTCGCAGGTCGTGATAGGTGCGTACTGTTAAGAAGGCTGTGCGTCTGTTTGATTTTAATTTATTTTCTCATAAAAGTAAGTTTATGCGCGTGCTCAGAGTGTGGTATTTATCGTGTTATAAACTTGGTAGATTCAACTTTTCTGACAGAGTAGATTATTTCAGGTCTATTGATCTGCGATAGTGTGTCTGTTTTGTGTATATTTCTTGTACAGTATATGCATTTATTTACCTGTTGAATGACATTTGTGTTGTGGACTTTTTTTTTTTTTTTTTTAAATAACGTTTGTAGCAGCTGCTACCAAATTCGCTGTAATTGCAGGTTAGTGATATATAACTTCATAGTTCAGTACGTCATTTCCATGATGCGTTAGGCCGAAACACAAATTACTATCAGATTAAATTGTTTATTTCAGTCATGTACACGTTAAGAACAGAACGTTTCAATTCATGAAGGTGGGTGTCTTATGGGGTGTTGTGTCGTATGTTCTGGAAGAAACTTACCGTTGTTTCGGAGGCGCTTGCTGCCTCCTTCATCAGGGCGATGAAGACGATCATCTTCATTTTCGCCGCAGAGAGAACTTGAAATTATGAGTTTTTGTTCTTCTTAGAACATTTTTTTTAGACATTAAAATCGAAATCCTCTACTGACCATTCAATG